TCGGATATTGCAATGGTTAAGAAGTTGTTTTTCAATTTTACAGTACAAATTCAGTGCTACGTCACAGATTGTAAACTTAGAAACCCAAAAGTGGTACGCTGTCAAGGTTTTCCCATAGGTTGCGAGTTTGGCCTCTAATTATGAACACCAAAATCTTTTTAGGTTATGTGATTTTTTCAAAAATTCTCAGAAAACTCATTCCAAAAATTGATTCACGAAATTTGAAATTCCCAACCCTGTAGTTGAAGGTTTTTAAAGCTGTTTCAGGAATTGCGTATCTTGCCTCCAAATATTGTAGTTTTCGAGATATGACGTTTTTTTATGATTTCTTTTATAAATTAGATTATAAAAGTCAAGAAGATTCAAACTCACAACCTTGTAATTGGCTACCATAAGGGGTGTTTTCAGGAGTTTCAAATCTTGCGTCCAACTGCAGCTGCCCAAATGCTTTTAGTTTCCGAGATTATATGTTTCTTTTTTTTCAAATATTCAAAGATTTTAGATATTAAAAAGAGTTTCGCAAGAGTTTTCATGGTTAGAATTGGTGAGTTAAAAAGGAAATTGTAAATCAATAATCAACATGAATAAATAGAATAGATACCCCGGTTGACCAAAAATGCTTATCATATAATTTCGTACAATTCCATAGATACAGAAAATGTTAAGAAAACTCTAAGTTCAGCATTTTTTTCATATTTGGATATTGTAGGACAAGCATTTTTTCATAAACCAATAAGTTTTATTTATTTCCCGAAGGTTTTGGGAAGTGTTCGTGACCGAACGCAAATGAACATAAATTTTTTCTTAAACCAAAAAGTTTTATTTATTTCTCAAAGTTTTTGGGATGTGTTCGTGACCGAACGCAAATGACTAAACCATGGTTTACTCAAAACTATAGTTACCAAAAGGTTGATCGTCTGGAATTTATAATGCATTGGAAACGACCTGAATTGTGACAGAGTTCTTTTCACAAATCATATACTGAAAGCATCAAACTTTTAAATTTTGGCAAAAACTTTCATTATTTTTAAAATTAGAAGTTTCAAATTATCAACATTGGTCAAGGCATGTATAAACATGCCATACAAACGAAATATGAATTTTTAGCCTGTTTGAAAAAAATTATCCAGAGAAACGGAAAAAGAAACGGATTCGTGTATCCAGGATTACGTTATGCACACACAAAAAATAATTTTGCATGCAAAAAGGTTCTTTTTGGAAAATGTTTGATTTGCGACTGAAAAACACTAAAAAAAAATTTTTGGGGCAATTTCAATTTTACTTGGAAAAATTTTTGGTTGTCGCCATAAAAAAAAGCTAGTCATACAAGTTTTATATAACGAGTTTGTAGTATGATAACTATTTTTTCCAAAAAAAATGAAACAAAGTGTATTTTTCATCACCTGACTGTTTTATTTGGTTCAACTAGCCTCAGAAAATAGTTTGCATTCTTTGACTTCTCACGCTATCGTAGAGCAACTAGAGTCACGGAATTTTGACATTGCAACTTATTGATTTCAACGAGTTAATGGGCTCAAAATGTTTCGTTGGTATTTGATGACGTTCAATTACACTGTATGCCGCAAAAAACCGACAGTCAAAAAAAAGTTTAAAAAATACTAGGTCCGGCGTTTAAAAAGGTTAAGTTTTAACGAGAAAAGTCGCGCTGATAATCGAAAAAAAAACAAAGAAAGAAGTGTTCTAGCAAATCGTTTGGAAAATAGACGTCTCTGATAAGCAGTTGCTTTGTTTCTGATTTTTGATCAGTTTTCTGGTATAAGCGCGCATGGACTTTTAATATTTGCATCTTCGAAACAGATACGACCATTCTTGACGCTGAGTCAAGTAAATCTTTCACTTTTCTTGCCTGTCATTTATTCGCGGATATAAGAGTAAGTGAAGATCGTTGCCTTCTCACAGAACCAACTTGAGCCCATTAATTCAAATTTCTGGTGTTGTTTCTGAGGTTATTTCCACAGCTGAAATATCTACGAAACTAGTAAAGACAAACTGGTTATTTCATGTCTTTGAAAATGATTCCTCAAGTTGCCATTCAGCTAGCTCTATCCAAATAACTTCATCTAGCATGTGTCGAAATTTCAATCCTATATCTTTTATAGTTGCAGAGAAAATGACAAAAGCGCGAAGAAAAAATCAGTTCATTTGCTGGTTGAAATCAAAAAGTTGCTACTTAGATGTCCAGTGACTGGACCAATTTTTTGTGACGACAAATCTATCATAATAGTATAGTACGTTGGTATAAATAGATATAGATAAACCAGATTCCAAAGGCCATCTCCTGACGGGGCAAATATTAATTTAATTTGAAGGGAAACAAGCAGGCGCCGAAAAGTCTAGTTTTTGATGAAAATTTTCCAAAATGACGTTCATGCTATGATAAATAAAATTTTCTTGCTGTATTTAAAGTTTTGAATAAACGAATTTTTTATTGTTCCTGGAGAAATCGGAAGATTTTTTTGGTCTGGCTTGAAACTAGACGTACTTTGCAAACGTTACTCCCTTGAATTAGTGGATGTCTGTTAATGGGTAATACCTCGTGCAAGGCTACTTCGAATCCAACCAAGCGGAAGCTGAAAACCCCGTAGAGCTGAAAATATAATCGAGCGGAAGCTGAAAAGCTAGCGGAAACTTTGAATGCAATCGAGAAGAAACCAAGAAAAAAAACATAACTGTTTGATCAACCGTGCAAACAAATTCCGCTAATCGGAAATGCTAATACAAAATGCTGGTAACTACCCGACATTTTCTCCGCATTATATATTCATTTTTTATATTTTTGAATTTATTGATGGTCTTTATTGGCTCTGTAAAAAAGAAAATTAAAATAGAACTGACTACATATTTTTTTATTGTCAGCACACATTATTTTATTTATTATTAATTTCTCCTAATTTCAACAGCAAATCGCAAAATTTAGCATTTTTTTCAGAAAATGCACTCGGTTCAATTTTTAGTAAACTTGTTTTTCTTTTTGCTAATTGACGCCAATCAAGTTGACCTCTCCCTGTTTCGGGACGAGTGTCCCTGTTTGAAAGGCTACAGTGCAGGGCTTATCTACCATTACTTCACGTAGAATGTTGACTCTTTCATGGTTTACTGTCTGTGCGTCACTCACTGTGAGGCTATCAACTACAGTGTAAGCAGAGGCGGATTTAGGTGGGGGGTGGGGACGCTTTTTCTTTCCTCCTCAGGGATTCGACCCCTTCACCAATCAAAAGGCTCCCTCTTTGATATTATTTTAGGACATCCCTTTATGGCAGACCAACCCCAAAACTTTCTAAAGGCGCCAACATATACGAATTTCAACGTGGAGCGTGCGCCACTAAAAAGCAATTTTTTTAGTCAAAATGTTCCAAAAAGTACCGAAGAACGCTTTTTTGGCCTTTTTTTTTTCAAAAACTTGCCTGCGTTGCAACTTTTTCAGAAAATGTACTTGGTCCAATTTTTGGTCGACTTGTTTCTCTTTCTGCTAATTGACACCAATCAAGTTGACCTATCCCTGTTTAGGGACGAGTGTCCCTGCTTGAAAGGCTACAGTGCAGGGCTTCTCTACCAATACTTCGCGTACAATGTGGACTCTTGCATGGTTTACTGTCTGGGCATCACTCACTGTGAGGCTATCAACTACAGTGTAAGCAGAGGCGGATTTAGGGGGTGGGGTGGGCTTTTTCTCTCCTCTTTTTCTCTCCTCCTCAGGGATTCGACCCCTTCACCAATCAAAAGGCTCCCTCTTTGGTAATATTTTAGGAAACTCCCTTTATGGCTGACCAACCCCAAAACTTTCTAAAGGCGCCAACATATACGAATTTCAAAGTGGAGCGTGCGCCACTAAAAAGCAAGTTTTTAGTCAAAATGTTCCAAAAAGTGCCGATGAACGCTTTTTTGGCCTTTTTTTTCAAAAACTTTCCTGCGTTGCAAAATTATGTTGAAATATCTGCATCTTCGAAACAGATACGACCATTTTTGACGCTGAGTCAAGTAAATCTTTCACCTTTCTTGCCTGTCATTTATTCGCGGCTTTAAGAGTAAGTGAAGATCGTTGCCTTCTCAAAGAACCAACTTGAGCCCATTAATTCAAATTTCTGGTGTTGTTTCTGAGGTTATCTCCACAGCTCAAATATCTATGAAACTAGTAAAGACAAACTGGTTGCTTCATGTCTTTGAAAATGATTCCTCAAGTTGCAATTCAGCTAGCTCTATCCAAATAACTTCATCTAGCATGTGTCGAAGTTTCAATCCCAGATCTTTTATAGTTGCAGAGAAAACGACAAAAGCGCTAAGAAAAAATCAGTTCATTTGCTGGTTGAAATCAAAAAGTTGCCACTTAGATGTCCAGTGACTGGACCAATTTTTTTGTGACGACAAATCTATCATAATAGAATAGTACGTTGGTATAAATAGATATAGATAAACCAGATTCCAAAGGCCACCTCCTGACGGGGCAAATATTAATTTAATTTGAAGGGAAACAAGCAGGCGCCGAAAAGTCTAGATTTTGATGAAAATTTTCCAAAATGACGTTCATGCTATAATTAATAAAATTTCTTGCTGTATTTAAAGTTTTGACTAAACGAGTTTTTTATTGTTCCTGGAGAAATCGGAAGATTATTTTGGTCTGCCTTGAAACTAGACGTTTTTCGAAAACGTTACTCCCTTGAATTAGTGGATGTCTGTTAATGGGTAATACCTCGTGCAATGGTGCCGTGGCCCTACTTCGAATCCAACCAAGCAGAAGCTGAAAATCCCATAGAGCTGAAAATTTAATCGAGCGGAAGCTGAAAAGCTAGCGGAAACTTTGAATGCAATCGAGAGGAAACCAAGAAAGAAAACATAACTGTTTGATCAACTGTGCAGAAAAAAATACCGCTGACCGGAAATGCTAATACAAAATGCTGGTTACTACCCGATATTTTCTCTACATTATCTATTCATTTTTTATATTTTTGAATTTATTGATGGTCTTTATTGGCTCTGTAAAAAAGAAAATTAAAATAGAACTGACTACATATTTTTTTATTGTCAGCACACATTATTTTATTCATTTTTTATCTCTCCTAATTTCAACAGCGAATCGCAAAAATAAGCAACTTTTCAGAAAATGTATTCGGTCCAATTTTTAGTCGACCTGTTTCTCTTTCTGCTAATTGACGCCAATCAAGTTGACCTCTCCCTGTTTCGGGACGAGTGTCCCTGTTTGAAAGGCTACAGTGCAGGGCTTCTCTACCAATACTTCGCCTACAATGTTGACTCTTGCATGGTTTACTGTCTGGGCATCACTCACTGTGAGGCTATCAACTACAGTGTAAGCAGAGGCGGATTTAGGGGGTGGGTAGGGCTTTTTCTCTCCTCTTTTTCTCTCCTCCTCAGGGATTCGACCCCTTCACCAATCAAAAGGCTCCCTCTTTGGTAATGTTTTAGGTCATCCCTTTATGGCTGACCAACCCCAAAACTTTCTAAAAGCACCAACATATACTAATTTCCAAGTGGAGCGTGCGCCACTAAAAAAGCAATTTTTAGTCAAAATGTTCCAAAAAGTGCCGAAGAACGCTTTTTTGGCCTTTTTTTGAAAAATTTGCCTGCGTTGCAAAGTTTATGTTAAAATAGGCTATTTATAATGCTATAGGAGCGCTCGAAAAATCAATTTGGACAAAAAGGAAAAAAATAGAAAACAGTTTTTTGAAACTCCGCCCCCCCCCCCCCCTGAAGAAAATCCTAGATCCTCCCATGAGTGTAAGAATAATCGGGAAACCAGTCGAAGCCATGAATCTTTTCAACAACCACCCTTTTGTCCTTTGCCACTATAAAGAATTTTCGGACCAAGTGAACAATCTCCCCCCTAACTTAATGTAGGGAGGAGATCGTTTACTTGGTTAAAAGTAATATTTTTCAGCTAATCAGGTTTGAGCATAGTACATGCAGGCCTTACTGCTTGGATTTGCTTTTTAATTTTAGGGGGAGATTGTTCACTTAGTCTGTTAGGGGGTAGATTGTTCAGATGGGCCAAAATTTTTTGTTGTGACTTTCGAATAAAGTAACGGAATATTTACACCTGATGCAGTTTTTTTAATCGAGGAATGGATTTTGATGTTTGGGATGTTTACCTTATTATATGGTAGCACTTTTTAGTTAGATAATATCAACACTGCACACTGCTAGTGTTTTATAAGCTAGTTTACTTGAAATCTGCTCGTCAGAAATATCGACACGCAGTAATTGATGTCTAATTAATCTAATCTTAGCCAACTTAGTTTTAAGTTATTTCTGGAGACTTTTTGGTCGCACCAGATGAAACGGTCCGGACAGCCTCATAGAGTAATTTTTGATAGATTTCACGTCTGTTTGTTACTCTACTTTTTTGGCCGGTTAAGCTCGTGCAAATCCTTAGTCGGCTACTGATCTTAATTCTGCTCTCATTTACTGGTCTCAGTAGGTCTGTAAGAATACTGGAAACGCTCGAGATTAGTGTGCCACCAACTTTTTTCATCACTGCCGATTATTGGTCTGACTAGTAAAACTAGTCAGTTTGACAAGGTATTTATATTTACGTTAGTTATGGATATTGATTGGTATCAATAAAAGGCTAGAAGCAAAAGAGGAAATAAATATCTGCAACGGTTTTCAATTGAAACAAAATGTACCCTTTAAAGAGATTCGCTTTTAAGCCGACTTTTGTAGAAATTGACGGAATACTTGTGCTCGGTTTAGTTTTTCTCTGGAAAAATTTCGATTTACAATTAGTAATTGGAAAGTATTTTGTTTGAATTGAAACTGAGCTTAAATTTAAAAATCATATTCTAACTGTGATCAATTTTCGTAAAGTTATAGTGAGTCTAAAGATTGCCAGTTTGACTGATTAGGGATAATTAAAAGGCGAAAATTTTTTGTGCTATTAAAGCGTGAGCGGCGATTTTATCCGTCTTCGAAATCATTCCAAATTCAATTGAGGCATGCTTATAGGTCTATTTGGTACTATATCTCGTTGCACTTTACATAGCATGTGCAATGATTTTCAAAAAAATCACAAAAAACTGAATTTTTTCTGAAAATTTCATTTACTTCTTCATATCAAACACTATGAGCTTATGCCTGGAGTAGCTTACTCATAGAGTAATTTCAGATAAGGAACACCTTCTGTTTGTCACGCTATCCTATTTTCTGCCAGATAGATTCGTGCAACTTCTTAGTCTAATACCAATCTTAATCTTACTCTTAAACCTCCTAGTCTCAATAGGACTAGCGTATACTGGTATTTGCGGGTTTGATATCTGGAACTTGTTCCAAAGGAGAACAACTGTCTTCTAAGTTATATTTAATTTGCTTGATGCTGAGACTACAAGTAGTTTCCGCGTTACAAATAATTGTCAGTGTTAGTTATGGATCATGATTGGTTACTAAGAAATATTTTATGGAGATAGTTTTATCAAGAATATAATTGGTTATAATTACTAGTTTTGAACTGGTTGCAACTACTTCTTAGACCTTAGAATGCAGTCAAAATTTTCAGAGTTTTGCCCTGATACGAGCAGTCCTGTTTGGATTCATTTTGGTACAGTACGAAGTTTTGGAGCAAACTTTGAACTAATTATATCGTAACAGCAGATTGTTTTGCAATTGGTCTCTGAATTTCATTTTGAAAACAAGTTGATTGTCCTTAAATTGCTTCGTTTTTTCGACAATTCAAATCAAGACTGTGCAAACTATGCATCTGACTATTTCCCAGTTATCGAAATGTAACAGAATACCCAAAATATAAGCGAGGAATACAAAAAAAAGACATGATAACGAACGTTACCATTTGAGTGAAACAAAATAAACTTGTTATAATGATTGAATAAAACAAACTGTATTCTCGAAGCTCTGGATGGACAATTGTTGTTCCGACTGTCGATACGAAAGTAACGGAATATTTGTGCTCGGGGTGGGTTTTTTTTTTCTTCAGACTAATTTCGACTTTTTACCTAGCCATTTTTGACGGAATTTTTTCTATATCATTCGAAAGGTATTGTTGTCTTGAGCTCAATTTTGAAAAGATATTTCACCTGTGATCATTTTTCGTAAAGTTAAGGGGGTTTAAAGATTACCATTTTAGCCAATTTGGGACAATTAACGCGCGATATATTTCGCGCTATTAACGCGTAAGCGGAGAGTTAATGCGTCTTAGAAATCGTTCCAAATTGGTTAAAAGAAGCTTATTTGCCATAAATGGTTTGTTACAAGGAGCGAAATCTACCCTTTTGTACTTTATATGGCGTGTGTGGGGATGATTTTTATTTAAAAATTTCAAATTCAGAAAAAAAATTTCATTTTGTTTTACTTCATTGAATTTTTTAAGGTTATTACGGCTCCATAAACCTTAAAAGGCTGTCGGAACATTCAGGGCTTCGCCCTGATACGAGCAGTCTTATTTTGTTTGCTGTAGGATGAATACAAGCTCTGCAAGATGTATAGCAAGTTTGGGGTGGGATATGAGCCGGAGGCCATCAACAACTTGGACTGTCAATCTTTTTCCTCCTACCCCAGTACCTCTTCTGAGAGGTGGTTCTGGGTGAAAGAAGTGGAAGCTGGCAAGACCACAGACTGTCAAATTGAGCACGAGACACTCGGACAGACACGTGAAAACAACAACTTTCATCATTCATTTTTATTAAAAAAGCCACCAAGTTTTTTTTAGAAAATGTTGTTTGGGATCAAGTTAACATCCATACCCCTCCCCTACCCACCCAAATAGGGTAATTTAAGATCCTCCACCGTCAGCGTTGAATTTATATTAAATTTGCTAAGCGCTGCGTGTAAAAAGCTCTATTCTGATTGGCTGAAAGTACTATATCAGAACGGCTGTGTGTATGTGTGTGTATGTGTGTGGGGGGATGTTAACTTGGTCCGTTGTTTGTTTTGAAAATGAATTCTTTGCGACCCCGTTAGGAAATCTGGAGTCTGAGAACTGAGAAATCGCTAGGAAATCTGAGAGCTAATAAATTAAAATCTTACTGAAGGTAGAAAAGTCATGAAAACAAAAGACATATGTCAACTACCAAACTTCAAGACACTTCAAAAAAAGTCCGCTTTCAGTTTTATGAATTTCAAACATTTCTAACACTTTTGCTATCTAACATTTTAACAAAAGCAAACGTTTTTGCTATGATACGATTCGACTTGTTTTCAATCTAAAATTCATAAATTGGTTCTCAACAAGTAGCGCTCATTTCTAACACCTGTGAAACGATTGAATTCTATTTGGCTATTTAATACCATGTATTTTATCAGTTTTTTTTGGTGGCTGGTTGTTGGTCAGAAGTAATTGTCATGGGGAAGTTTTTAATGCCTTGAACTCCAACTCCGAATGTCATGAGTTCAAATTACATTGCGTATATATTTCAGTGTCACCGTCTAATTACGTGTTTTTGTACAATCTAGCTTTTGAAAACTCCGTTTTACCATTTTTTTGGTGTGTTTGCGAAGTGCAACTTAACCTCTGAGCATAAAATTATCATCACTTCACAATTTTGCAGAAATTAATTTGCAGTTGCAAATATTTTATGCAAAAATATTAGATGGCAACTAGCTGGATTTTGTGCTCAGCAATCGGATTTTCTTGTTTGTTCTTCCATTTAAAAATGTTCTCAGAATAACATGCGCTTCGACGGCTGAAATTGGTCAAACTGAAATTTGAATCGCTCATGGATACTTTTTTTTGCTATGCAGTGAAAACTGCTTCGCTACAGTTGATATTAAAAATCAAAGTTGTTTTTACAACTGATGCTTAGAAAAAGATTGAAAACAACAAGAATAGCCGTTACTGTGCAAGTAGCACAGAATGTTCCGACCATAGTCTTTAAAAAACGACTTATTTTTTTTCCAAATAGTGTAGTTTTTCTGCGTGGTGTGATTAAAGGATTTGACGTATAATTTTAAGTTAAAAAATATACGATAGTCATAGTAATATAGGCAAACAGGACAACATATTTTGAAGCAAAATGACTAGAAAAAACAATTTTTTTTTAAAAAAAATTTTGGCAGAATTTTTTGAGTTTTTGAAGTTTTTTATTCCCAAAATGGCATTAAAAACCTCCAAAAACTAATTTTATTCATACAATAATGACATTCAGAATAAATAAACTATTTTAAACAGCCTAAATAGGTATAAAAAAGCGTGCTCGAATTTAGACAAAATCTGGGAAAACTTTTTCGAAATTTTTAAATGGTGTTCGAATCACGACTCAAAGAGCTTTAATTTGATATATCACTCAACTATCTCCGATGATTGTTTGCGGTAGCTGATTTTACATGGAAAAAAAAAGATAGCCGGTTACTCTGCAAGTGGCACAGAATGTTCCGACCATAGTCTTAAAAAAGACAACAAAATTTTTCAAGGAGGAGCTATAGTAAGTGGAGCTGAACCAAAAAACTGGGATTATATATATTCAACTGTCACAGTAAAATAAGCAAATTGAAAATCGTTTTTTTTTTAGGAAACTGGCTTGAAAATAAAAAAATCTAAAATGTTTTTTTTTTTAACTTTTCCAATTTTTTGAAATTTGAAAGTTTTAATTTCAAAAAGACGCTAAAATACTCAGAATAAGCTAACATTAATTAAACAAAAATAAGTTTTTACAATTACATTTATGCTATTATGAGCTTTTAAGCAGTTAAAAGAATACTGTTCAATCGCTTTATTCGCTCGAAATAAGACAAAAAAAATCAAAAATTTCGAACCAATTTTTCTCAACACGGTGAAAATTTTTTGAAAAACTTTATTGTGGTTCAAATCACGATTGTAAGGGCTTCATGTTGATTTATCACTCAACCCAGTCCGATGATTATTTGTGGTACTTGATTTTGCATGGAAACGAAAACAAAACGAAAACATCCAGATACAAAGTTCCTCCACATTTTCAATGGTCGGAACAAAAATTACGTGTTTTAGCTAATAAATTCTAATATGATCTGTGGGTATCAAAAGCTTGCAATAATTTCAGTTTTGGTTGAGCTCAGTGAAGAAAAAATGAATTTCCTGTGGTTTTTTAGTGCTGACTTTTTATTGCATTTCAACATCCAACGTCATTTGAAATTCAAAAAAAAATCAAAAGGGTTTCTGGAAAAAAGCCGATAGTTTTTTCTATCGTAATAGCCATATATAGCCATAGTGCATAGTAGCAATACGCGTAAAAACAACTTCGGAAATAAAAAAGTTAAAACGTGGGGAAAGAAAGGAAACAAATCTTCAATTGAATCTTGTTTGAAACAAATGGTCAAATTATATCGAAATGGGGAAATGGGAGGATATAACAAAACAACCTATTTTGTTCAGCTTCTACTAATGACTACACAATCTATGTTCGAGGGTACCCGTTGCGTGTATTTTGCCAGTGGGCACAGAACAGCGGATCCACCAAGACATACTTGAACCTACCAACAACCCCATCTACCTTTTCTCATTGGGGAGGCAGCAGCTTAGCCGGCGCACCAACGGCCGATCCTACTAACAGAACTTTCGATAAGGCCAGACTCCTTGTGGACAAGTGTTTTCTGGCTATTCAGACTTCGGACGTGGCTTACAGCGTTGTAAGTGGAGAATCCGTGTCAGACGAATTCGGCAAGACCTGTGAGTCTCATACTAAATAGTTTCAATTATCCCAAATGGTGGTAAACAAGTGACCATGTAAACTCTATCTACATGTTTTGATACAAGGGAAAAAACACGCTTGTTCAATGACGGTGGTTGAAAGCGCAACTCGCAATCATTGTGCGTTTTTAACAAGGTTTTTTCATCGTAAAAAACCGTTTTCTCAGACACTTGTCGCCGTCTATGTTGACTAGAAATCAACAAAAGCTCATAGACTCGTTTTAGAAGCAAGTTTTTTTGGATGAGTTAACCGTTTGCACATAGCAAGATTTCAGGAAAATTGGAAATAAGCGGCACTTTTTATGGCATTTTACTTGCTTTTTTTCAAAGACTCATAACCCTGGGCAAAAATCCAGATAGTTTGAAATATTGAAAACTGCATCATTTGTTATTAACCCTTAATATATTGGTTGGTATATAAGTAAAGCATATTCTTATCAAATGAAAATGTTCATGAATATAAGCGAAGATTACGGGGGATGGTCCACTCAATGGTCATATTCTCAAGAACATTCATAAAAGTTCTTGAGAATAGGATGATTGAACCATCCCCCGTAATTTTCGCTTATATTAATGAGTATTTTTTTATCCATGAGAACGCGGTTAGCATTTATATCAACCAATATATGAGCTGTTAATAACAAACTATACAGTTTTCAATATATTAAGCTATCAAACATTGATTTTGACTCTTTGACAAAGTTATGAATCTTCCAAAACGGCTCGTGCAAAATTTAGCCCCGTGCAAAAAATTTAGCCTTGTGCAAAAAAGTTTGCCCATTAAGTAAGGTGGTTCATCTTTGAACTGCGGACAAAAAAAATCGGTAAAATACTCTAATTAGGCCAAAAAAACAGTGGAAAAAGATTTAACGTCCAACTAGCCGGGTAGAGGTGCTCGACTTATATTTTGATTTTGAAATTCGAGAATTTGAATGGTTTTTGACTAAAATTCATCGTCTGAGAAGCTATTTTAAATTAAGCACAAAATCGAAACATGCCCGATTTTGGTCGAGAATTTCAAAACATACCCGATTTTGGTTGAGAAATTCAAAACATAGGTCGAGCACAAAATTTGTTACCGCAAATTAAAAATTTCAGAAAGAACTCTAGTTTTCTGAGATCTAATTGTTCCTGCGGCAGAAAAAAGCAAGTTCTACCAATATTTTCTCAGAGCAGTTTTCAGTTGGAAAAATCAATTTGGAAAAATCAATTTGAAAAAATTAGTTTTCGATGCTAGAATTTCACATTTTACTGTTTCTTAGAGTTTAATTTCAGTTCAAGCATCATGCAAAAATTCTATTATAAAGGATAAATTATAAAGTTCTGTTAAAACTATTCCTGTCAGATGGTAGTCGAGAAAGTCAAAACAAACCAAATTTTGGTAGAGAAACTTGAAACATATCTAAACTGGGTCGAGCAAAGTTGAACACTTTTTCTTCTTGGGTCGAGAAAGCCGAAACATACCAAAATATTGTAAAGACACTTGCTCGAGAAAGTCGTCGAATCGTACCAAAATTTGGTCGAGGCGGTCGAAACATACCAATTTTTGGTCGAGAAAGTCACAACATAAAATCAAGCACGTCGACCCGGGTAGTCATCTTTTTCGCGTTTCAGTCATCGGCAGAGGTGGGAACTGCATCCCACCCCCGAATTCCGCCCCCGGCTTTCACGAGATTCACCTGGAGAGCACTCCTTTCATGTTCCCGCCTGGAATTCTATTCGACGTCCGAAAATATGCGGGAAGTGTCAATGAGTATGTCACATCAAAATCTTTGCAACACCAATCATCTGTCATAAAAGGAGTGTGAAGAGCATTTAAGTAGAATTATTATCTAACAACTTAAGAAATTATTAAGAACAACTTTATTTTTACCCCCCCCCCCCTCCGAACCTATAACACCTGCTGCTCATTCCGCACAAGCTGCAAAATTAAGAGCGTTTTCTTGCTTTGGCACCTGTTGGTCAAATGCTTTAGGAGAATACATACACGGATACGTACCAAATCCAGGGTCCTATGTATTAAGGTTGTTTATAGTTTCCCATGTACTAAGATTGGTTATAGGTTCTCTATTATTATTAATATTGGTTATAGGTTGTCAGTGCGGTGTTCTTTAAAAAAATAAATTAAAATTAATTATATCGTGAAATCATCCCTCCAATTGGACAAAAAAAACTCCCTGTTCAGTTTTTACAATTGGCAATCTTCAGCTCCACAATTTCATTCAGTCTATGAACTTCAGCAGCTTTACTTTCTCGCCTAAAAAATTTCAGTCTTTTTATCAGCTCAGCCAGCAAAATTGTATCTAGTTTTCTTCACAATTCCAGCAGCCTTAATTTCTCCTTCTCACATACAAATTCAGTTTTCACTTTTCACTACTTTTGAAAATGTTTTCATCTGTTTAAATTTACGCTGTTGGAAAATTCCAATTAATCTCAATTCTAGCAAAATTACTTCTTAAAATTACACTAAAAATGGCTCAATTCAACCTCAAGAATTGCATGCAACAAATGCCTGGGTTATTCAACAATCTAATCCAATCAGACAACAACCTAGCAGTCAAGACGGGGCTCAAATGCATACGGCTGTCAGAGGGCCTGGATTACAGCCGGTTGGTTCTAGACGAAATCGAGGTTGAGTTGATGGCAGATAGCGGAGAGACAGCGAAACCCGACAATGAGATGAAGATGGTTGAAAGTTGCTCGCCAGAGCACCTAAAGACGCTGTTGGGGGCAATGACAGAATCGACCAAGGAGGAGTTTTGGCTGTGTGCCCAGGAAGTGGGCATCGACCGTGAACTTGCTGTAATATATATAGTTTTCTTTTCAGTTGACTCTGACAGCTCGCTTTTTTCCTCAATCAATTTTTTTTGGTTTTAATTTACAAAGATGCAGAAAAGACTGGAGAGGTCCGTTCGAATGGGTCCGGAGACGATAGAGCCTGAGCTTGTTCCGTCACTATCTGCGGAAGATTTAAAAGACCTCAACGTAAAACAATTTCTCGGCCATTTTTATTCTACAAAGAACAAAGAGGCGAGTTACGGGGTTCAGCAATGTATTGTTGAAGCATTGTATATTTCTTTAAAACGCGATCGGGTCAAATCAGACGACAAGCTTCAAAAAATTTTGAAGAAAAACAAAATTACATACGCCAGAACACGAAGGAGTCGGCTGATTTGCTTCTATCAATTGGTTGAGAAGTATCCTCTGCTTAAAAAAATAGACACTGACTTCAAACCCTCAGCGATACTAATTAAACTGTCGATCATCAAAGCAGTTTGCGAAACCAACTCAGAGTTGTGGGTAGACGGTGCCTTTTTAGTCGGACAGCTGCTGTGACTAGGAAAGTAGCGAAGATGTTGAGCAATGAAAACAGTTATAGAATATCAGCTATATTTAAAAGATTTTTATCGCAACACATTTATTTTCTTCCAATTAGATACAAAATTACTAGTGACAAACTGTATTATATCGTCTTGTGAAACAAAAACTGGTAAAGTAGTTTTTCCATTAGTTTTGAATCAATACAATGAGCCAGAAAGAAGAAATGAAATCCACAAAATGAACTAGTCTGTTTTTGAGTGAAGGAGCAAATTTTTAATTTATTTGGCATCAAGTTTGTAGAACAGCTCTCTTGTAGATTGAGGGAAACCACACTTGAATTGGTCTGTTGAAACTGTCATAAAAATATAAAATTGGTTGCCCATGAGAGTCACTAGTTGAAGCTAACAAAAGCCAATATTCGCCCAACTCATCTATAGGTTGCGTGTTGATAATAGCGAAACAATTTTTGGCGATTTTTGGAAACATATCCGAGGGGAATCATCCTAGAGATCTGAATGATAGTTGAGGATGTAAAAAACAGAGTTTGCTCATTTCAAAAATGTCAACCATTGTACACTGTAGAGTTTTTGATGATCGCGCCGTTGCGATCAATTATTACGACTGATTGACGTTCGCCGAGTAGAATCAGGCGAATAGGTTTATTAGTAATTTATTTAGAATAGTAATTTATTCAAACTTCAATTCAACACCCAACCGGGCACCAGTAAGTTTCGGACAAATACTGCTATCGCCCAAGTGCATATTGCTCGTAAGAGTGAACACTGGGTTAAAATGGTTGCGGAAATTAGACAGATTGATCATATTACCGCCGTGATCGAATCTGAGTGATCTCATTGTTGTCCAATAAATTTGTACATGACTTTTTCCCAGTTCAATAGGCGTTCTCCTACAGAGTTTCCCTCGCGAATTAATCACATTGTCGACAAGTCAAAATCTTCAAAATTGAAGGGATTTGTTGCATAGCTTCCTGTAACATTCTCTTCGGACACCACTGATAGTTGTAGACGGCTTATCGGGGCCCGGTTGAAAATGTCGTTTCTAAAAAAAACTAGTTCGCTTGAAATGAGAAAAGACGCTGCGAAAACTTCTTTAAACTCGTATTCGGCCACTTTTCTAGTAAAAAAACGGTCAATGAATAAGTGAGTTTCGTGTCTAAGTTCCAGCATGTGAACTAGGCAGGTAGCATTCACAACTTTTACTTCTAAATTTTGGGTCTTACAATTTGTTGAACATTTCAGCAAAACGAATTGATTCATGGCTCGAGTTAATTGAAGGCGTACTTCAACCCCAGGTAGTAGATATTTGTCAATACCGGTCAAGATTGTGTCGTTCAGTCGGAAATGATATCTCCAAATTCGTCCTGATTTTACAAGTTCGTATCGATTTCTAAAATAAGGCTTTGTACTGTCTTGAAACTTTGTGGGATCATCTTCAAACTCGTAGCCTTGACCTGCTAAAAAACCTGTTTTTATTGAGCATCGCTAGAAAAATCGACTTCCAAAGCGGTCTTGTAAGGATATAGATTGTAAGGTGACGACACTATAGTTTCATTCAAAATCACTTGTACGTTTTGCCACATGCTCTCTGCTAGATTATTGACAAAAATAGGCTTTTCCGTTTTGATAGGAGTAGTGCTGTCGGCAACCGCTTCCTCGTCTTCTGCTTTGGACGACGTTGTCCCTTTCCCAGCCGTCTGGAGCTCCATGTCCAAATATATGTTTCTCGTGTCAATAACAGTCCCGCTAACATCGGTCTTTGACCGCGTAAAATTCAAATTCTAAGACTGGTGCATCCGCATTAGTGGGAGGAAAGACGCGCTCAGCATATCCTCGCTGAAAATCTACGAGTACGGGGCCACTTGAAAACAGATCAAGAGCTGAATGAGTTACCGATGTTGGCTGCCACCTGGTGGCGAGGTCGCGAGCGGTCATCCGGATACTTGTAGCCTACCAGCTCCGATTCGTAGAACCTATCCAAAACTTTTTCTCCATTTTTGTTTTTAGAAGATAAGTGACTGCTTGATTTCTGTCAAAAGGTTTTGATTTAAACTTGACTAAGAACAGCTACTCAGTAAAACGCTGCTGATAGCTTTTTCGGAATGGGATATCCGTTCGAGCTGATATGCGCACTGAATCGCCCAATTAATGTTTTTGTCTGCTGCTTCTCACACCTTTGTTTCTTCTTTTCTTTTTATAAGTTTTGAACGCGTTGGGGAAAACTAACTGAACCAATTTCCTAATGTGTTTTTGTTCAACATCAATCGGCGACATTTTAGTTGAGGCGTTTTTGCGGGTATTGATAATTTTTACAAATTTTTGCAAATGATCAACATAACGGAATTTTCACGAGTGCTCAAAAGTTTGTATAATATACTCTTCAGTCTTCTAATGAAACGTTCCGCGACACAGCTTTTGGATTCACTGTATGTATGGTAAACTTCAATTTCTTTTCGACGCAAAATTTGGCAAATACACCCTTGAAATCTTTTCCTTGATCTACCCATACATTAATTGGATTAGGAAGTGGGTCATCAATGTTGATCATTTTCAGAAAAACATCTTTCAAGGTTGTTGCATATCTGTTCTCTAGTGGTTGAACCCTCAAGTATCGACTCAAAACGTCGACTGCAATTATTTTGTACCACTGTTCTTGTTTGCAATTTTATCCATATAGCAACGTCCATGGACCAAATATGGGTAATGTCCAAACTGACAACACCCAGACGTTTGAATTTGTACTTACTTTAATTGAATTTGGAATACGTGGATGAAGATTTCAAAAATTGCTCAATTTTTTTGCGCGAAAGCCCACTTGCCGAAGTTAGATTTTGAACATTTCCATATGCCGCCGGATGTGTCAGAGAGTAGCAAATTCCCCGTAAGAGCTGATCTTCTTGCTCCGATAATTGGGGTTGTTGATGTGATCTGTGTGCCTCGTCTTACTCTCGATTACTCTCCCCTTCATAATTGGTGTTGTTGTTGTTGTTGTTGTTGTTGTTGTTGTTGTTGTTGTTGTTGGTGTTGTTGTTGTTGTTGTTGTTGTTGTTGTTGTTGTTGTTGTTGTTGTTGTTGTTGTTGTTGTTGTTGTTGTTGTTGTTGTTGTTGTTGTTGTTGTTGTTGTTGTTGTTGTTGTTGTTGTTGTTGTTGTTGTTGTTGTTGTTGTTGTTGTTGTTGTTGTTGTTGTTGTTGTTGTTGTTGTTGTTCGTTTTCGTAGTCGTCAATTGACGGCGGCTCCTGTTTTTACGACCGTCTTGTTCTTGTTGCTGTTGTTTTTTGGTCTTCTTGACTTTGGCTGCTGCCATTTATAATGTTTAGTACGTAACTGTTTGGTATCAAATTATCGGCAGAGTTTTTAAGCTGAAATAAAAGTTTCAAAAAATATGCGTATTTGGGAGGCAACATTTTATTCTTTAATTTCAAACCTTTCAAAAATTGTATAACGTAAATTTTGGGCCTCGTATCATCCT